GTGATGGTCAATTTGCATATTCCCACTTTATTATATAGGCATTATACAAGATAGTTTTCAAAGTGGCTGTACCATTTTTCATTCCAACCAACAATGTATGAGAGCTACAGTGACTTCACGCTAACACACTTGGATTGTCAGTTCTTTTAACTTTAGCCATTTTAAAGGATGTGTAGTGTGTCTCATTGGGGTTTTAAAATCCATTTTTTTCTTATTACTAGTAAAGATAAACTTTTTAAATGTGCTTTCTGGCCATTCATATATCTTTGTGAACGTATATTCTAGTCTTTTGCCAATTTTAAAAACAAATTGTTTATCTTTTTATTATTGAGTTTCAAGGATTCTATATATCTTGCAGTCTGTGGCATTCCCTTTGGTTTTTGTGTGTGTGTGTGTTTTTAAAAAACATTTTTATTGATTTCAGAGGGGAAGGGAGAAGGAGAGGGAGAGAGAGGTAGAAATATCAATGATGAGAGTGAATCATTGATTGGCTGCCTCCTGCACACCCCCTACTGGGGAGTGAGCCTATAACCCAGGCATGTGCCCTAACTGGGAATCAAACCGTGACCTGCTGGTTCATAGGTCCACGCTCAACCACTTAGCCACACCGGCCAGCCTGATTTGTTTTTCAAAGGGCATTAGTTTTTAATTTTGATAAAGTCTATTTTACCATTTTTCTTTTATTTTAATAGTTTTAACACTTATATTGTGTGTTTTTCTTAGTTATGGAAATTATAGCATTGATATGAGTGACAGCAGAGTCTTTTCTTATAATGATTTATAAGAAAAGGAGGATACAATTTTGAGAGATATAGATCAGGATAAAGTTGATGTTTTCAAGCTAGAGAATGGAAAACAATTATAAAAGAAAGGATTAGAGAGAGGGACAAGAAAGGGGCTCTTTATAGGGAGAAGAGCTTGGATAACAGGCATAATCAGAGAAAAAAAATAAGTAAAAACTGAAATTGATAGCAATGACAGCTTCTGTATCCAGAAATGATAGTATCAATAATCAGAACACTACAGTATGATAGAGAAGCAAAAATGGCTGTTTTTCTGGCCTATTTTCTTTTTTTGTATTAAATATATGTGTACTTTGCTTTTTAGCCCAAGTGAAATTCTATTGCAACTAGATATAAAGAGCACTGTCTATAGTTATTTTACAGTTATAGATTGGTTTAAGTTAAAAGGTTTAAGTCAACCCTGGCTGGGTAGCTCAGTTGGTTGGAGTGTCATCCTTGTGTGGGGTTCATCCCTGGTTGGGGCACATACAAGAATCAATCAATGAATGCATAAGTGGGTGGAGCAATGAGTTGATGTCTCTCTCTCTCTCTCTCTCTCTCTCTCTAAAACCAATAAATAAAATTTTTTAAAAAGGCTCAAATCTTCAAGGCCATCTCTATAGGTATAATGAATAGTGGCTTTTAAATTTTTAAAGGTCAAATAAGATTATAGCTATTTTTGCTCCATCCTTCCTCAACCACAGTTCCTAAACTACAGAGTTAATCACACTAATTTAACTGTGTTCACTGGTGTTTATTTCCATATTTTCTGACTATTTTACCTAATTTTTATTTAATTAATTTTAAATATTACCAACATGTTAATATGAAAGATGTGGTTCATAAAATTTCCTGCACTTATTTTTCTTCACATTTTCTCTGGAACTCCTTTAGTAGATGTTAAAACTCTTGGGTTCCTCCACAAGTAAGTACACTAATTTTCCAGTCATTATTCCCATTCTTTGTTCATTTCTCACCTCCTTCCTGCTATTCTTCCTTTGCTTTTTTTTAAATATATATTTTATTGATTTCAGAGAGGAAGGGAGAGGAGAAGAGAGATAGGAACATCAATGATGAGACAGAATCATTGATCGGCTGCCTCCTGCATGCCCCACACTGGGATCCAAGCCTGAAACCCCGGCATCTGCTGTGACCGGAAATCGTTCAGCAACCTCCTGGTTCATAGGCCGATGCTCAACCACTGAGGCATCCAGGCTATTCTTCCCTTTTTTTTTTTTTTTTAATTCTGGGAGATTTTCTGGAATTTTTTTCTGAATCTATTAAATTTTTAAGGTCAGCAGCATGTTATTTCCAAAAGCACTTCTTTATAGAACTCTGTTAATATTTCATTGCTATATAATCCCTTTGTTTCTGTGATACTAGTTACAGTATTGTATCATTTGTATGTGTGTGCTCTTCTATTTCTTGCTTTGTTTTTTGTTTTGATCTACTTTTCATGCTAGGGCTTTCATCAAATTTTTGTGATCTTCAGGTCTACATTAAGATGAACATTATGACCAGAAAGATTATTGTAATCTCTGTGCAAGTGTGAGCTTGTGAGACGGTGGGCTTCACTGTACAGCATTAAGTCAGATATCTATGTGTTTCCTTGATGTGACTCTAAGATTTCATTTTTTCACAAAAGAACCTTTCTGTCATATGACACCTGGCAACCATCAGCACCTCTAGAGTTCAGTAGTAGAAAGGGATTGGGACCCTCTTCTGTATATAAACTTTTATTCATCTTCTTCTTTTCTGTATGGTACTCTTATCTACTTTTCCTGTCATTACTAAATTTGAGGACTCTCCTTTATACTTTGTCCGGATAATAAATTCCTATTTCCTTCCAACTAGGAGAGTTGGGCGCTTCAATAGCTCTTTAAAAAAAAAAAAAAAAAAAATATATATATATAATTGATTTTTTTACAGAAAGTTAGGGAGAGAGATAGAGAGTTAGAAACATCGATGAGAGAGAAACATCGATCAGCTGCCTCCTGCACACCCCCTACTGGGGATGTGTCCGCAACCAAGGTACATGCCCTTGACTGGAATCGAACCTGGGACCCTTCAGTCCGAAGGCCGACACTCTATCCACTGAGCCAAACCGGTTAGGGCTCAATAGCTCTTTTTATAATCATTTTATTTAAGCTTCACTTTTCACTGTCACCCATAAAGCCTTTCTGTTGACAGTTGTATTACAAATTACCTTGCTTTTAGGTGTCATCCTCATCTGCTGGCTTTTCACTTAAGCCACTGAGTTCTGTAGTTAATTTACATTCCTTTGTTTTTTTCCTTTCAAAATTTCCTAAAACTTTTCATCTCCTGATGTCTCCTCAACCTTTTAGTTTTTATGAGTATGTGCTCCCTTTCACCCCCTTACTATCATTTTAATGGAGTAGAAGGAAGATGTGGAAATAAATGCAGTCATGCACCACTTAATGATGGACATACATTCTGAGAAATGCTTCAGGCGATTTCATCACTGTGCAAACATCATAGAGTATATTTACACAAACCTACATGGTAAGGCCTATTATACACCTAGGTTATATATATATATATATATATATATAAACTGTGGGACCACTGTCATATATGCGGTCCATCGTTGACCAAAATGTCATTATACAGTGCATAGCTGTATCTTATTTAACCATACATCCTCTTTAATAATACTTCTATTTCATTTTTTTATCTTTTCACCCTAGGCTCTCTCAATTTTATATTTGTCCTTTCATCCTATCACCTGCCACATAAAAGTATTTCTCTTATTTTACTAATTTATGAAGAGTACAAGGTTACATTTAAAAGCAGTTTAAACTACATGCATCCATGACTGTCTTTGTATTTGAGCTTTCTTTTATATGTAGGGTAGGTTTGAAATAAAGTTTATTTATAGCATATTTTTTAATTTTATTAATGTGGAGAAATTCACAAGTGTTACTGATGTTGATGGTGACAATAGCTGCTTTATTGGATGTAAACTACATGCCAGATACTAAATATTTTATAGTTATTAACTCTTCAATGATGATTTTTTTATACCCCCTTTTAGAAGAGCCCTGGGAAATTTAAAAATAAGGACACATCATGAAAGACTTGTGAGTTAAGTCTCATCCTTCTCCATGAAAATACAGCTAAGGAAGAACTCAGAAAACATAGGAAATAGAAAAATATTTCCTCTGGTCACAGACATTGATTCTTAAGATATGCCTGTTTTGCCTAACCTCAGGATAATCAGTGGGAAAAGATTTCCATCATAAATTCAACTTCCTTAGATATCTGAGAATTGATATTGGAGAGAAACCATATGAATTTAGTGAATGTGGAAAAGCTTTCATCTATGTGACACGTCAAGAAATACTAAAGAAGTCTTATTGGAGAAAATATCTGCATGATAACAATGTTGAAAAGCCTTCAGACTGAATCAGATCTCCTTCAGTATGATCAAATTCACATCAGAGAGAAACCCTGTGAGTGTAATGAATGTGGAAAAACCTTTAGCCTGGAGCAAAACCTCATAGAGCATAAGAAAATGCACCCAAGAGAGAAATCGCATGAATGTCATGAATGTGGTAAAGTATTCTCTCAAGTCTCATCCCTTACTCTACATTTGAGAAGTCATACAAGAAAGAAACTATATAAATGCAGTAAATGTGAAAAGGCCTTTAGCCAGAAGGGAAACTTCCTTTCTCATCAGAAACATCATACTGAAGAGAAACCTTATGAAAATGGGGGAGCTTCTATTCAGATGCCAGGTCTCATTAAGCACCAGAGAAATCATTCTCAGAACAAATCGTATGCATGTAAGGAGTGCGGGAAAGCCTTCAATGGCAAATCATATCTCACTGAGCATGAGAAAATTCATACAGGGGAGAAACCATTTATATGTGATCAATGTGGAAGGGCCTTTAGCCAGAAACAATACCTCATTAAACATCAGAATATTCATAGTGGAAAGAAACCCTTTAAATGTAATGAATGTGGAAAAGCCTTTAACCAAAAGGAAAACCTCATTATCCATCAAAGAATACATACTGGAGAGAAACCTTATGAATGTAAAGGGTGTGGGAAAGCTTTCATCCAGAAATCAAGCCTCATTAGACACCAGAGAAGTCATACAGGAGAGAAACCCTATGTATGTAAGGAATGTGGGAAAGCGTTCAGTGGTAAATCAAATCTCACTGAGCATGAGAAAATTCATATTGGAGAGAAACCCTATAAATGTAATGAATGTGGAACAATCTTTAGGCAGAAGCAATACCTCATTAAACATCACAATATCCATACAGGAGAGAAACCTTATGAATGTAATAAATGTGGAAAAGCCTTTTCTCGAATTACATCACTTATTGTACACGTGAGAATCCACACAGGTGATAAACCTTATGAATGTAAAGTATGTGGGAAAGCCTTCTGTCAAAGCTCATCTCTTACTGTGCATATGAGAAGCCATACAGGTGAGAAGCCCTATGGTTGTAATGAATGTGGAAAAGCTTTCTCTCAGTTCTCAACTCTTGCTCTACATATGAGAATCCATACTGGAGAAAAGCCTTATCAGTGTAGTGAATGTGGGAAAGCTTTTAGCCAGAAGTCACACCATATTAGACACCAGAGAATTCATATTCACTAAAGTTCTATGAATTCCTTGAACTTAGAAAACCTTCAACAGAATTCATATTTGTAGTATATCAGAAAATCCATCTTACAATAAAGTGACATGAACATGGAAAATCCTTCAATACTCTAACTTAAAATACTGAGATTGTAAATAAAAAGTATAGTGTTAAGAAAACTTATACCTCCAGAGCCAACACAACAAACATTGTTAATGCTGTACTTCTTAGGAGCATTCTCATTGAAGTAAAAATCCAGTCATGGACACCAATCAGTGTGGTTCTGGAAGGCCTACCTGATGCATTAAGACAAAAGATTTATAATTAAGAGAAAAAACTGTCATGTTATATGTTTTGCTATATGGGTAATCATCAATTATTTGCTCTTTTCCAGTCATTAAAAAATAGATTATGACAGAATATTGTATCCTGAAATATATGCATGTCTTTATGAGGAATTGGTAATTGACAGATGTGTATCACAGGTTGGTAGGGAAATCATGCGTGAGTCAAAAGTGGACTCAGAGTAATTGACTCTTGATATGGAAAAGTATTAAGGTATTTGCTGTCATCATACATTAAAATATTTACTTATTATGAAATCCAATAATATTGAAGACTAGAATGCAAAATGTGAAACAGTAATATAAGAGCTTTATAGGAGAATGTTTTTAAAACCTTGGAGTAGGAAAGAATTTCTAAAATTTATTCCAGAATACTCACTCTTGAGTATATATACATATACCCAAGAAACATAGTATGTACCCAGGGATTCGTGTACCTCAATATTCATTGGATCATAAATTATATTAGCAAAATATTGGAAACAAATGTCTGTCTCTTGTGAAATGGTTGAATAAAATGATAGTCACACAGTAGAGTATTTTCTAGTAGTTAAGTACAAGTTAAATATATTTAACAAGGAAACATCTGAAAAAGTATATAGAGTGAAGAAAAAAATATCCGTGTAAATTTGAATTAAGTCACTACTAACCAACACCAGTATTAAGCATTGGTTATGGATGGACATTTTGATGTAAAACTGTGAAGAATGGATTGTAAGGATACACATTCAGTTCCCAAAAGTGGTTGCCCCCAGAAAGAAAGGTAGTGGAAGGGAAGTGGGATCAAGCATGGTAGTTAAAGAGTACTTCAGTTTTGTATCTAAACATCTATCCTTAAAAAGAAATAAAAATTCCATGTAACCATAACAAAATGTTAGTTAATTCTGGGTTGTGGCAATATATGTGTTTATTTTATTATTTTGTGCTATTTCTTTTAAACTTCTGAAAATTAAAAAAGATAGAGATAAGAGTAGGGAACCTGTACATGAAGTACATGTTAAAATGGATTCACATTCCCAATCAGATGCCAATTTTTTTATTAAAAATACTTCTGAAATTATATATTTTAAATATGAAAAAAATTTTAATTGTGATGGCAGCTTAACAGATCCAATTATTTAAATTTACTCTCACATGTCACATTACTGTGTGTGGTTTCTGTTAAGTTATAGCATGATTTTGCAACAGATTGGTTGAATCACATAACATGTAAAGATTATATTTAATAATACATGCACAGACCTGGTAGAGGGAAAGAATTCATTTTCACTGAAACATTTATCAGAAAATTTAATACCCCATATAACCAGTATTGGCAATGGAAAATAGACCATTTTAAAATGAGGAAGCCATGTTGCTCTTACATATTTTAATATGCCACTGAGTAAAACATCCACTCTTATGGTTTAGCCTCAATTTTAACCTCACACTATATTTTTCTCTATTCTGCCAGACATAATCAATTCCCATTTGTTTGTTTCCTTAGGGAAAAGGGTGCTGAAAGATAGATAGACCTAAACAGTATTTTATTTTCAGCAAATCTTTTTATAGGATTTTTGAAAGGGATGCTTGATCCCTTTTCACAGCAATTTGACAGGTAGAAATCTGTTAATGCTCTTTGTTAATAGTGATAAAAATGAGTATGTAACATTTAAACCTTAGGTTAATTTCACATATATCAATTTCTTTTAAAACTCAAAATAATAAAATGCTAATATAACTAGAGAACTGCATTTTTTGTTATTAGCATCTTTGAAGGTTAGTCTTGAGGTAAGATTATAAATACCAGTGGTTGATTTTCTGAGGTAATCTACCCAAACAATATGCATGTATATATTTACATGAACCTAAGTTCTCTTCTATTTCAATCTTCACTAAACATTCTCTCATATTCCTTAAGTGTTCTGCCCTTGTGCTTGTACACCTTTGAAGTCACCAGAAGAACTCAAGTCAGGCCAAATTAGGAAGACTACCTTTTGCTGCATATAAGTGGCCAGTGCCAAGACCCAGCAACAAGAATAATTACAGGTTTGGCTCAGTGGTTAGAGTGTCAACTCACAGACCGAAGGGTCGTGGGTTCGATTCCTGGTCAAGGGCACATACCTTGGTTGCAGGTTTGATCCCAGCTCCAGTCAGGGCACATGTGGGAGGCAACCAATCATTGTGTCTCTCTCACATTAATGTTTCTCTCCCCCTTTCTTCCCTCCACTCTGTCTAAAACCAATGGAAAAAATATCGTTGGATAAGGATTAAAAAACAAAAGAATTATAATGGTCAGGTAAAGTAAGATAAGTAATTGCTGCACAGTTTCTGTGATACTGTGTACTGTAAATTTATTCAGCCATCTCCTTATTGATTCATCTTGTTGTTAGTTATTGTCACCACAAACAAACTAGAGTAAATACCCTTACATTTAGGTATTTTCATTATTGGAGAGTAGATTATAGGCAAGAGGTTGCTAGACATATTAAAGGATATGTGCTATTTAAAAATTGTAATAGGTACTGTCAGTCAATTTTAAAAAGACAAGAAACGCTGTACATATGAATGGAATACTACTTAGCCATAAGAAAAGATCAAATACTGCCTTTGTGACAACATGGATGGATCTTGAGAATATCTGCTAAGCGAAAGTCAGACAGAAAAAGTCAAGAACCATGATTTCACTCGTGTAGGATATAAAACTGAAAGTAACAAATGAACAAATAAGACAGTATGGTGGTTACTGGAGGGAAGAGTTATGGGGGGTAGTAAAGAGGGTCAAATATATGGTAACTGAAGATATGACAGGGCAGTGGGCACACAATGCAATATATATAGGTCATGTATCAAAGAATTGTATACTTGAAATCTATATAATTTCATTAACCGATGTCACCCCAATAAATTTAACTTAAAAATAGATAAAAAGCAAAAAAAAAAAACCCACAAAAAAAGGTAGCCCTGCAATAGATGGTGTTAACCTGCTCAAATTCATGCTGGTCTGATGAGTATAAACCTCTCCTGCTCCTAAATTTGCTTCTTTGTAAATTTTGATATTGTTAACCCATTTTCCTAAAGGATTATGTATTTTTTTTCAATTTTGAAGACCTCTTCATATATTAGCTATTAGGAATTTGTCTAATTTTTGTTATAAAAAAGTGCCTTTTTCTATTAAAATATTTTTAAATTTCTATGTAACTGAATATGTACTAATTTTTTCTAAGCTTATGAATTAGGAAGATACTTTGGTTGGGGGGTCTGGGAATGGAAGAGGGCATAGAGGGAATAAATAGTGAAATAAAATGTAACAACATACATATTTTTAATCTCTAGATTGCATATATTATTTCTTAGTTTGCCTTGCAATTTGGTTATCTCAATATGTAAATATGTAATGCATGTAGAATTTAATATCATATAAAGTGAGGTTCATTGTTATTTTCTTCCAGATGGGTTTTCATTGTACAAGCACAATTCAGTAAAATAGTTTAATATGTTCAACAGCCAATCACACAGCACCGACACCAGCACAATCACAGATTCAATCTGGCAGTTAAATAAACTTAATAGGCTTTAACCCTGAATTAGTTTTAATGGCAGCTTTATCCTGATAAGAAAACACCTTCACAATATGTTTATTAGACAGTCCTACAACTGCCCAAGCAAGCACAGCTTTCAGGACCTCAGCCCTGGGAAACATTAACATTCTCATCCAGGGCATTTTACAATGATCCACCAGTACATATGCATGGTGTGCCACCATCACATGGGGCACACTCAGTTGGAAGACTGATATCTACTTAAGCATAGGGAAGCCACTCCACTGCCTTGGTTTCCTCAAAACTTGTAATGCTTTAGTCACATAGGCTGTCAATGTCGACGTGGCAATTCACATATCTCCTGATCCAGGTAAAGGCTACAGATGAGGGATTTACAATGTTACTTTCTTCAAGGATGCTGTGGTAGAAAGGTAAATCTAATGTCATCTTTCCAGATATGGATCAGTGGGAAAGACCTGTGCTTAATCCTATACTGATACCATTCTTTTTCTATTCAACTGAAACTTTGCTATGTAATCATTTACACATATGATCTTTCCTTCACTCATCTGAAACTATCTTATATTTTCATTTACTAGTATCCCAAGACATTTCTATATTTTGTTTCACTAATCTATTTTTCTGTTCCTATACTAATACCACAGCTTCCAGGACCTCAGCTAATTAGTTTAACATTAGCCATACTGTGTTTCTTTTTTTAAAAAATATATTTTATTGATTTTTTTTACAGAGAGGAAGAGATAGGGATAGAGAGCCAGAAACATCGATGAGAGAGAAACATTGATCAGCTGCCTCCTGCACACCCCCTACTGGGGATGTGCCCACAACCAAGGTACATGCCCTTGACTGGAATTGAACCTGGGACCCTTTAGTCCGCAGGCCGACGCTCTATCCACTGAGCCAAACCAGTTAGGGCCATACTGTGTTTCAATACAGTAGAATAAGAGTTAAGTCCCTCTTGCTGTTTTCACACTGTTAATGCCTACTCAAAGTTAATTTTATTTCTACATAAATGAAGATAGTTTTCTCAAATTAGAAAAACCTTTTGGTATTCTAATTGGTATTGCATTGAATTTATACATTTATTTGGGGAGAAGTGACATGATATTGCCTTTCTGCCCCCAAACAGTATGCCTTAGCATTTATTGAAATTGTGATACATGTCCTTCAGCAGAAGGATTCTGAACAAAGTAATGTGCAGCCCATCTCTGCTTAATACCATTATATTCAAGAAAGGTTTAATATTTGGGTGAATAAGAAAAATCCCTGTATGGACTGACTGTTTCCATCTACAAGAGTTCATATGTTGAAGCCCTAATTGCTAATGTGATGGTATTTGGAGAAGATAATTTGGTTTAGATTATGTCATGAGGGTAGGACACTCATGATGGGAATAGTAATCTTATAAGAGAGAGAAAGAGATATCTCCATGTGAACATAAATGAGAAGGTAGCTGTCTACAAGCCAGGAAGTAGATCATCAGAAACCAAATCTGTCAGCACTTTGATTTTGGAACTTAGCAGCTTCCAGAACTATGAGAAATAAATGTCCATTGTTTAGGCCACCTAGTCTGTTACAGGAGCCCAAGGTAAGACAATCATGTCCTGCTTAATTCTATGCCAGTCAGTTAGATATAAGGTTATATGCTCCTAATATATGGTAAGACAAAGACACTTTATCATTAGGAGAGTGTAATCCTAACTTTATTAACAAGCTCTATAGTTTTGGGGAATTTATAATACTTCCGTAAATTCCAATTTCTTCATTTTAAAATAAGAATAATTGAAACAGGAAATATGTGACAATTCCTGGAGCAATATCACCAAAATGTTAAATGAAAAAGCTCCAGTTTATTGTTTCCCCACAAACTGAATAAAACAGAAGTTTTCTGAACTAACTTTGTAATACCCCTGGAAAGTAGTCAAAGGTTTATAGGAACAATCAAATGCCTAATAAAGAAAAAGCCATCTTCAAATGTTAATAAAGTTTTGTAGCATTTTCACTCTTGCCCCACTGCTCCCCATCATGGCAGTGATCTTGGTCTTGAGCAGGCAGCAACCCATTTCTCCCTCAAACTGGAGGGAGCAAAGCAGATCATGTTTACAAATTATTGTATACATCTTTTCTAATCTTTCTTGATACATGAAGGACTGATTCAAGACACTTATCTGTTTTGCATGAATCAGAATGCAGGTGGGAGAAAATGAGTAGGTACTGCTCATAAAAGCTACAGGGTAGACTATAAACCCATAGATAAGTGGTTCAAGAGATTATTAGTGGAGACACAATAGATAATCTATGGCCTGGAGGAGAATTGGGTAATTTAAGTTTGTAATTCCACTTCTTATTTTCTATA